ATCTCACATTTATTTATTTTTTAATCCCACCCCCTGCATTGCTGAGCATCATTTTGCTCACAGTCAATTTCGTCGGATCCAAGATATCATCTCATCATTAGCCGGGACTTTTTTCCGATCAGGAGAGCTAGCAGAAAAAAGAGAATAAAAGAATTGCAGAAAGCATAAGCGGAGATAAGAGAGAGGTACGCCAATGGAGGTCGACGGAGGAGTGCCGTTGGATGACAAGGCAAAAAGAATGAGGGATCTGCTCTCCAGCTTCTATTCTCCCGACCAATCTTCTCCTTCTGCTAATTCACCCCTCCGGCCTGCTACTCCGTCCAGATTCGCCACGCTCGATACCATCAACACCACCTCCTTCGACGCCGATCAGTACATGAATCTCCTCGTACGCTACTTATTGCCAATTTAGTGTTTTGCCCTTTTTTACCTTTCAATTTTTTGTGGTCTGAGCCTCCATGGCGTAGTTGGGTGATTGTGACTTTTGGGTGGATGATTATGAACTCGCCGGTAGTTAATCTGAGCTGTGTTTGATAATTTTGGCATGGAATGGGTGCTGGAGCATGTTGCTAAGGTTATTTGTACTCTAAGCTAAATATGATGTACAGAATCTATTAGCATTCAACTCGTAATTTGGAAACTCTGCTGTTCTGTAACTATTATGCATAGGTTTAATTAGATTGCATCTGGGTGTGAGTAGATATGATGGAGGATGGACAAAGGTTTAAGAGGAGTCCTACCCTTATTTGATTCCTTCTCCTCTGCTCTTCGAGCTTCAATAATGGAAACCCCTGTTTGCTGTACTAGCCCCTTAATGTAGAGTGGCGATTTTTTTTTTTTTTTTGTTTTCCTAATCAGTGCAGGGACTCTTTTATTTCTTTATTAGCCAATCATATAGATAGATGTAGATTGTGTTCGGTAAGCACCATACGTTAATTTATAAGCTTCTTGTATTCAAATAAGTTTGGGTTGATAGGGATGAAATTCTTAAAAAATTTCGAGCTTATGTAGAAGCTTTCCTATGTAGCATTCAAATAAGTATTGAAATTTTTGTTTGCAGTTGACTTATCACTTATTAGCTACTTTTACCAAAAAATTTTGTTATGGCAGCCAACTTTTGAGTCATCATTCATAAGCTATCAACTATTCGCTCATTATTAATTATGGACAATCAGTTAACTTATCAATTATCAGCTACCTTTTCAATTAGATTTACCAAACATACCCATGGCTGAAAGATTTCCTTGTTAGACTTGAGATGCAAGCTTGTTCTTGTATGGGTATGATGTAATTTGAGTGTACTTGTTTTTTGTAAATTCAGTTAGACTATCCTCAAGTACTCTACGACTGTTTTTTTCCTTAGTTGTGAAATATTATGCTGATTTTTTGTTTTTAGTTGCTCTATGAACAAAGTAAAAGGATTTTAGTAACATATGAGACGATTAGTAGTTACTTCACATTGTCCATTTTGCGAGTGAAATGCATTTCTCTTACCCATTGATAAGGATGGTAGTCTTAATAATTTTTTGAATGATTTTGAAGGTACAAAAATCGAATCTGGAGGGACTGCTTCAGAAGCATGTTGAAATGGCTGCTGAAATAAAAAATCTAGATACTGACCTTCAGATGTTGGTGTATGAGAATTACAACAAATTCATCAGTGCAACAGATACAATAAAGAAGTAAGTCATATTGTGTCTTTCTGGGCAACCTCTAATATAGTCCAGGGAAACTCTAATTGGGTTGCATAACCGAACACTGTCACATTTGTGTATTAGAATGGCTGCAAATATTCTTGTTCACCATGTGTACTATATATTGCTATATTTTATATCCATAGGAGTTACCTTAATTATCTTCTCTTGTTGTCGATGTGGTTTGATTCACAACTCTTTCTTTGGATGTTTTTTACTTAAATCTACACTTTCATCTGAACAGTATATCTTCAGTTTTCAGCCTAATCATTTATCCTGTTTCTAGGATGAAAAATAATATTGTCGGCATGGAAACGAATATGGAACAGCTTCTGGAAAAGGTGTTTGGTACAGAATTTATCCGGTTACCAGCCAATGATTTCATAATGGTGAAGTGGTGGATGTATGGGAAAAGAAAACTCTTACTGATAACTGAATTGGGTTCTATTTTTCCAGATTACATCTGTGCAATCTAGGAGTGATGGCGTTAACACATCTCTTTTTGAGAAGAGAGAGCATATAGAGAAGTTACACCGCACACGCAATCTTCTGCGAAAAGTTCAGGTATACTTGATTCCTCATTAACTTCTTTCTCAGATGGCATTTGATCGGCTATGCGAAGTGCCTGCTATAGATCCAGATGGCATTTGACCTGCTATGTGAAGTCCCTGTTATAGGTCCTGATAGCATAAAGACAATAGTGAGCATATATGACAAAGTAGGGGAGACATATGATTCAGAGAATTGTAACTGAATGTTCATTGGCATTGGCGTAAAGACAGAAAAAAGAAAAAGAATAATTGAACTATATCAGCTCAAATGTGATGAAGAACCTTCTTGTTAAATATGCATTGTTTGAGCAGTTTATTTACGATTTACCGACAAGACTTGAGAAGTGTATCAAATCAGAAGCCTATGCTGAAGCAGTCAAATTTTATACTGGAGCCACACCTATTTTCAAGGTTCATCTTCGTAACTTGTCTATGGGAGCCTAAATTTATCTGTTTCTACTTATCTTTTAATGTTTGCATTTCACTTAAATTTGACTTTATTTCATCAGCAACTATCCTCCTCACTAGCCATTCATTCTCACTGTTTGTAGGCATATGGTGATTCTTCATTTCAAGACTGTAAGCGGGCATCAGAAGAAGCAGTGACCATAATTATAAAAAACTTACAGGTATGATAGTCTTTAGTTATATTGAAGGTGCACACATCAGTCATAAAACTGTTTCATATTCAAAGTGGTGTAGCTGATCAGTTTTTAATTATAAAATCCCTAATGATGAAATCACTAATGTCGTGCATGTCTCAGTTCTAACATACATAAGCTGGACTCAACTTGGAGATAAATTAGACAGAGTCTAATCTGTACGTTGGGAAAATTTTCTCTCTGTACAAATAATTTATGAAAACAAATTTCCCTGAAGGCTAGTTCTGTTATTTCAACTAATGATTGATTACATCTACATTGTCACATCGATTTATGCTTGGAGTCCTCAGCATGCCTACTTTTGAAACGCCCTAGAGTCTGCTTAGAAAAACAGCAAACAAATCCACTTCCACGGCTAACTATGTGACGTAACAGATTTTTTTTAGAGTTCGTAACATATATTTGGAGTTTACAGTTGCTCTTCAGCGACATAGTTTACTTCAGCATTCAGCAATATTGTGTTCGTCAACATTGCTTATAGAAACATCCCGGTCTACATTCCATTTTCTTTCTTTAATTTGCATGGTTGATGGTCCGTATGTGGATTGAATCGAAACTTGTTACAGTTGGGTATTTAACTGATGAGCAAACTCTGGACCAAAATGTTGTGTTTCAAAATTTTAAATATTTTTTCAGGGGAAGGTTTTCTCTGATTCTGAGTCAATACAAGCGAGGGCTGAGGCTGTCATGCTTCTTAAGCAGTTGGATTTCCCGGTATGCATGTACAAGTCATGTTTTCAAAATTTAGTGGTAGATTATATATTTGGTTTGCATTGATTATCAGTTGTGATGAGGAACGTTTAGGGGGTGATTGGATATGAATTCAACTAGTAAAAAATTATTATTTTTTTCTAACTATAGTCAAGTTTGAAAAAATGAGGTATGATTAGGTGTTAGTGGATATATTAAAATAATATTTAAAAATAAAATAATTAAAGTTGATTTGATGTAAAAGTAGGAGAAAATGATTGGAAGTGATGGTTAGTTAAAATTATGTGAGTGGATGAATAGTGAATTAAAGTTGATGTGATGTGTGAAAATAATTGGTTGATATTATTTAATTATATTGATAATATTGGAAATAGTGGAATAGAGTTAAAGTTGAGTTAAATTTGAGTTTTGATTGATTTTTATACTTTACAATCTATATCCAATCGCCCCCTTAGCAATATTCAACATTAGTTTATGAAGTTATAATCATTTGTTGATGATCGACCTTTTTGTTGAATAGGTTGAAAATCTGAAGGTTAAATTGTTCGAAAAGTTGGAACAGTTCCTTGTGGACCTGCATCTTGAATCTAAGGAAGCAAATGCATCCCCCAACTTGGAGAGCGATCAAGATTTGGCTTCTGCTTCTGCACATGAGGTGATAAAATAGCATATTTTAATGCGATTTTACATATTTAAAAGTTTTGGATGTGTAATTACTGAATATACGTGTATATATACAAGTAACTTTTTGCTCCCTATGCACTTCATATGAGTCCAGACGCACACAATTAATTTGCTAGATTATGAGTTCTTTTTCTTAGTTCATCAACTACATTCTTGGTAGCTAAGCTTCAATAATACTATTTATGATACTAGCATTACTTTCAGGCTTCTATTCGTGAATTTGCTGAAGCTGTTCGAGCTTATAAAGTTATATTCTTGCATTCAGAACCAGAGCTATCAAAACTCGCACAGGACCTCGTTAAGAAGTATGGCTACTTTTGTTAACCAGTTTCTTTTTCGTACAACCTCTTCTGTGTGGTAAATTATGGTGAAATGCTGATAATTTCTCCTATAATATATGTGATGTTGCCGATATGTTAGGCACTTCGAAGCCACACATCAACAAATTATGAAGAAGATTAGCTCTGCTGATCTTTTGGCGATGCTTCGTAAGTAGCTCATCATCTTATTTCAATTTTAGTTTTGGGAATTGGACTCGCTACTTCAAATATTTTAAAGTTGTAGCTTTTCATCTCTTCATTTTGTTTGCATATGCAGCAAGACTATGACAATTATGGTGGCTGGTATTTCATTCGATTCATAATAACATTTAAAGGGTAAAAGTAATTTTGGCTGTAAATGGTGCTGGGAGTGTAATATTGAAGTCCTTCAAGAAGATTGGCTGACACAAATTTTATGTCTCTGTTAGATGTTGTGAAAAAGCTCAAGCATCTGTTATGTGCCATTAATTACATTCAGCTCTTGAAATAATCATCAGTTGTCTGTTAGAATCTGTGTACAGTTAGGTAGCAGCTTAGTTGTTGGCCACCTGTGTCTCAGAAGGCTAAGAAGACGGCACAGTGGATATTGTTTCTCCTGTTATATGAATAATAGTGTGAATGAATGTTTAAGCATTTCTGCCTTCTGGTTTGATTCCTTGTCCAGTACTCCAATTATTTATCAATCATTTGTTATTGGCACGGAAAAAAGGCTTTATGAACATTTTCTCGACTTCTATTGAAATCGTGTAGTTCTACATAATGGTATTAGTTGACAATGATCTCTTGACATCGGGTTTTGTATTTTTAACATGATGTAATTCCTAATATGGATGTTTTCCAGGAGTTATTTGGAATGATGTGCTTCTCATGGATGAAGTGCTACCTGAAGCTTCCTTACCTGATTTTGCTTTGCAGGTCATGATATCTTAATTAACCCACACTACATGGGCTATAATCACCTGCAGTCGTTCATCTGGATTTATTTGTTGTTTTTTATATTGTTAAATGAGTAACAAGCTGATAATTTTTCTTTCTTTCAGTACGCTAGTGTTGCTGCTAAAGATTATATTTCCAATGCATTCAACAATCTTTTCAGTTGCATCTCAGGTAAGTATTATGTTTATGATATACACCAAATTTAGTTCAAGTTTTGGTACTTAATGCTATATCATTTCTGAGCATCTTGCCACTCTTTTCTATTTTTATTTTCAATGGGTTCCGAATGGTTAGCATCAAGACTACTTGACTTTTGAATGAATGATATGATTGCCTGAGAACTGCATATCTGCAACCTACAATAAGTTAATTATCTGCTTATTAGTGGTCACTGAAACTAATTATTTCGCAGATTCCCTTACTAAAGTTCAATTAACACCAAAAGAAGGGGTAGAGGAAGACTATTCTTTGCAAAAAACATTTGAAGCCAGCAAGAAGGCAATGATCCAAGGCACTACGGATATCTTAGTGGTAAAAATGAAAATCAGATAAAGTACCGTTTGTTATGTTTGCTTTTTTTATGTTCTCTAAATTATCTTTATGTTAGATTTCTTGGTATTTGTCCATTGTAAATGGAGCTGGAAGAGTCATTGTTGACAATTCTCCTGGCATAGTGCTAATAATGGACTAAATCAAAATGACTCAATTAAAATCTAGTGCTTCTTCTATTAGTGAAGTTTCTAGAAAAAAAAAAATGTATCAAACGGCGCAATGCACCTTGGGTCGCTATGGAAACAGCCTCCTTGTATAATTACAAGGGTAAGGTCTGCGTACAACTGACCCCCTAGACCCCAACAGGTTGGGAATATACTGGGTATTTTGTTGTTGATGTTGTTGTTGTTGTTGTTGTTAGATTTCTTGGTACCCATGTATTGCAACTCTTTTAGCATGTAACCAGTTTGTTCATCCCTTCTATACTTGAAAGAATGATATGGTATTTTGGCTATTTGTTCTCTTCAAAATGAATATGTCCACTCAAAATGTCCGTTGAGCGATCTTTTCTACTCTATCTTCTACTCCATTACAGCTCTCCAAACCTCAGAGTTGTGCCAAGCACAGAGGACCAAGGGTATTCAGGACTAGAAGTCTAGCTTTCAAGTATCATAATTCTAAATAATTTTGTGGAACGCATATCACACAAGGCCTGGTATAAATTGATAATTAGTCTGAAAGCGCGGTTAAACACTGAATCCTTTATGCTCCATTTGACTTATCATTTTTACTAGATCAGATGGATCTACTTTGTGTACCTTATCATATTACAAAATAATCTGTGTGTATGAGTGATTTGGTCATAATATATGTTCTGCTTCAAGATTAACTCTATCTTTGTGGAAACCAGGATTTCCAAGGGCTACTTGATGAAAACTCAGAATTACTGCTGAAGTTGAGAGATTTAACAATTGACTGGGTCCTAGAAGGGTTCCAAGATTTTTTCCAGAAGCTTCATGGTTATTTCATGTTGCTCTCTGGAAAGAGTAATACAGCAAGTCAAGATGTGAAATTGACGGAGGAGATGACAGGGGACAAAATTGCTGCCGGTCTTGTTCTTGTGCTGGCTGAGTTCTCTCTTTTTATTGAACGAAGTGCCATCCCTAAAATTACAGAGGTAAGGAACCAGCTCTGAGACAGAACTTCTTTATAATTGCATCCTTATATTCGAATTTACACATACAGGTTTGTTGTTTGCATGACATTCCCTGCAAAATTTCAGGAGCTAGCCTCTTTTTCTGGTGGTGGTGTACATGGCCTCGGGAAAGGTCGAGCATTTGTTCCTGCTGAAATTTGCCGCATCCTTCAGTCGTCTAGTGAAACTTTCGTGCACCTTGTGAGGACTCTGAATCAAAATCTTAAGCATCCATGCATATTCTTATTCGGTATAACTTTGTTTGTCAAAATTCCTAATTTTACTGAAAATGCCTAGTAGCAAATGATGAGTAAAAAAGGACTTTGCCTGACAGCTGAATATTTTTATTTTTTCGCGTATGGTGGTGTTCGACAACAATTTGATAAATTTTCCTGGAGTTACTCAAGTCTGCACATGCACATTATACATAAATTGCACCAATGAATGCTTCCTCTAGTGTTTGCTAGAATTAGTAGTTAATAGTTCTCATTTAACATGGCGTCTTTTTTTCAGTACATTAAGATGAGAACTCAGAAAATATCGGTTCTCCTGAAGAAAAGGTTTACAGCCCCAAACTGGGTCAAGGTGAATAGACTTCTTTTAACTGCAACTTGCATGTTTTTTACCCCTTACAAGACTACCTACAAACTATTTATCTCTTGCCTGTTTCTGTAGCACAAAGAACCCAGAGAAGTGCATATGTTTGTGGATTTACTTCTTTTGGAGGTATATTTTTATGAACTCATCGATTTACTTCATGTCATCACTTTTGGCTATCTCACAGAAGTACAATGAGATTCATAGTTCAGATTCTGCATATGATGATCAATTATTGATAAACTAGAGTGATTTTCTCGATTTATCCCATAATAGTTTGAAGAAATCACGAGGGAAGTAAAGCAAATTTTGCCACAAGGGCCAAACAATAAACACCGTCGAACAAACAGCAACGGGAGCACTGCATCCTCGCGCAGTAATACTTTGCGGGATGATAAGTTGGGCAGGTCAACCACTCAGAAGGCCCGAAGCCAGCTTCTAGAAAGTCACCTTGCCAAGCTGTTTAAGCAGAAGATGGAGATATTCACCAAAGTCGAGCACACACAGGTTGGGGAAAAACACCTCTTGCTTGTATATGGCAATGAGGCACGTATCAGTATCCTGTTAAAAAAAAAAGTGACAAATTTGCGATTTGCAGGAATCAGTGGTGACAACTATCGTGAAACTCTCACTGAAGAGTTTACAGGAGTTTGTGCGTCTCCAAACATTTAACCGAAGTGGATTCCAACAAATCCAATTGGATATCCACTTTTTGAAGACTACTCTCAAGGATATTGCGGAAGATGAAGCTGCTGTTGATTTCTTGCTCGACGAGGTGAGATTTGCCTCACCTCACCTTTGAGGCTCGTGTGGTGTAGAGTTACATTATTTTAAAACACACCTTAAAATTTTCTGGTTTAACTATCAACTTTTTCAACTGATTATATATATTTTGTTCATTTTGCAGGTTATAGTGAGTAGCGCAGAGCGTTGTTTGGATCCGAGTCCTCTGGAGCCTCCAGTTTTGGACAGACTCGTGCAAACAAAGTTGGCCAAGGCTTCTGAGCAAAGCCCCACTTCATGAGATGAATGAAAGGTCAAACTAAGTTGAGCATCCTTCTTNTGATTATAACAATAAGCTACTTTTGAAATTTTTTAGTTCCTTCTGTATCTAAATTAAAAAAGTTGGCGGCTTGGCGCTACTGAACTGGACTTGCTTTCTTATTCAAAATGTTTTATTTCTACAAAAAAATAACTAGTATGAATCCCGTGCAGTGCACGAGTAAGAGATATTCATTAATATTTATAAATTAAAAATTCTTATCAAATGATATTTATAAATTAAAAATATAGAATCAATATGTAATATAATTTTTACCTGTATTAATTTAATAAAAATGTTATATAAAGTTTATATTTATATTGTGCAAAATTACATAAAATTGTCTATTTAAAATTAGTACACAACTCGTGCGGTGCACATATCTGATAATAAATTACATTATATTCATTTCAACATAAGTGTCATTTTAAAAATTTATTCAGAAATTCAATTTAACAAAATATTATTCTATAAAATAGCTATTTTGGTAAAAATTTATCACATATTTCACAACATATGTGAAGAATAAGTATAAATATAAAATTTATATTGTTTCATTAAATAAAATAAATTTATTTTTGTATAACTATTCAAAAATAAATAAATAAATAAATTAAGTAGTTGAGTAAATTATTATACTATAAATAACTGACTATTTCGTTTACATCCAAGTTAATATTGACCCGTAAGATATTGAGTAATTTATTAAACTATAAATGATTAACTATTTCATTTACGTCCAAATTAATATTGACCTTTAATTTAAAATAATTTTTTTTTATTTTTTAATATATTATATACCAAATTTAAACTATTGAACCAATAAAGGTAATAGCCGTAAGTTTTGTCAATATACTGTATCCTAAACTTAAATCATGCAACTAATAAAGATGATAGTCGCACAATTTGACCAAAATGATTCTATACATTAATTTAGGCGGGATTTTTTAAACTTTAGCAAAAAAGATTACTCAATACAGTAAATATTTAGGCGGGAAATCAAATATTTTTTTTGCTGATTTCTAATTGTTATTTTAAGTAAATATTATTGCCACTTTATATATTAATAGATGCTCTATTTATTTATATGTTAGTTTTTCTTGTTTCACATTTCTTTTAATAAATAAAATGGCACGTAAATTGGAAGAGTTATTTAGATAGTGTTGCATCCGTTGCTCAATATAATTTTTTTTAAGTAAATAAAGTTGTATTGAGAATCTAATTTGAAGTGGGGCAATAAATTAAAATTACAAGTAAATTTAAATTTGAAGTAGAATCATTTGAAAGTTGCACCATTGAGATTGTTTCTCAAGTGATACTTATTTTTCCTTAACAAAACAATAATAATTTTGTTTACGTTTAAATATATTATGTTTTTGAAGATGAAAAGCATTGCAATATATGTTTGAAATATCAAATATCCATAGTTAATTAATGAAAAGAGAAAATTTTGCAACATACAACTATATAGATTTTTATTTTTATCACCACAACTTCATAAATATTCATAATTTGCACATTTCCATGCAGCTTGATCATATAAGTGTGGTTTTGAGGATGATTTTATGGTTAAAAAAAAAAATGAACTAAAGTTGCAAAATATATATATTCATAAAATTTAAATTACATTTTACCAAAAAAACATGACATATTGTAAGTGTAAAAAACCCACCTATTATTGTACAGGTTGTATTTCCTATTAATTAATTATTATGAAGTTTTTCAAGAGAAAAAAAAAAGAAGAGAAAAAGAAACAAATGCCATTTATTCATTTTACTACTTGAGAGAAATATAAAACATAAAAAATGTACACGTGCACAATTTTATATTAATTAATTCCAGTTGTCCACTTGCCCTATATCCTCTCTTTTTCTCTCCCACCGACGCCACCGTCACTCTCCCTCGCCACAAAACACTTCCAACGAAAATTAAAAAAAAAAAACCCAAAATCAGAAATACAGAAAAAAAGGAAAATTTCCAGTCCAAATCTGATCGGAATCGGGGCTCCCGTCCGTCCGCCGGAATGTTTCTGTTGGACTGGTTTTACGGCGTTTTGGCATCTCTAGGGTTATGGCAGAAGGAGGCTAAGATCTTGTTCCTCGGCCTCGATAACGCCGGCAAAACTACGCTCCTTCACATGCTCAAGGATGAGGTATTTTGCATTGTTATTATTATTATTATTATTCGTTTATTTTGGATAGGTTTTTTTCGTTTCTAATTTCAATTTTCATCAGCTGATCCTTATTGGGTTGGATTTATTTTTATTGGCTTGGATTTTCTTTTTTATTCAGAGATTAGTACAACATCAGCCGACTCAATACCCGACATCTGAAGAGCTGAGTATCGGAAAAATTAAGTTCAAAGCTTTTGATTTGGGCGGTCATCAGATCGCGCGTAGAGTTTGGAAGGATTATTATGCCAAGGTAATTTTGATTTGATATGAGTTAATGTGCAGTTTGGTCCTGAATTGTGGTGATATTTCGTTTGTGTAGATGAAGTTCAATTGGGAAGTTCAGTGGGGATTATTTATATGATTATTGATTAATTCTATGTTTTGAAGAAGATCAGAGTGAAAGATGGATTGATCGATTGTTTCTATGGTGTTCTTCTAATTGTCGACTAAGTGATTGATTATCTCGTAAAAGTTCTGCCGGATTTGACTCAACTTAATCTAGTTTTTGTTCGTGCTAACAATTTTAGCCCCTGAAAACTGTGGGTGTTACTGATGTAAAGAAATATTTGGCTTGTTTTCTTACTTTTTCTTTTCGCCTTGTGAAGTTAGTTGGGCTCTGAATGTAAGCTCATAAGTTTCTTGCTTTGGTGAGAAATGTAGATAATATAGTGCTAATTAGTGCTCTGGGTTGGATACTATACCCACATTATTGTAGATGAAAATTTTCCTGATGCGAGTCTTTTATTTTTCCATCAAAAGTAAGCTCTTTACGTGCTGAGTTAATTGGCCTAGGATCTCAATATGCTTCTCTGCTTCTAGTTTTGCTGTTAGTATGTCAAACTGCAACATAATGGACTAATATGATATAAAAAAGTTCATTTTAGTAATTGTTTACTTCTTGTTTGCAATTATAATTATTAATGTAGACTCTTCAAATAGGTTCATTGCTCCAGCCCAAATTACGATTAAACCCGGCATGAGCTACATGAGCTCCTAGTAGTTTACCGGATAAATTAAACAAAGTGTTTTTTTTCCCTTTCTAAAGATTAAGGCTGTGCTTGGTAAGCATATAAGCTAGCTTATAGCTTTTTTGATTAGCTTATAAAAACTTTCTATATTCAATTAAGTTTGGTTTGGTAGGACGAGCCTTTTTAAAACGCTCGAGCTTATCTCATAATATTCTCTGGGTAGCTTTTCAAATAAGCCAATTGAAATTTTTATTTCAACTAGCTAGTTATCAGCTAAATTTACTACATTTTTATCATATAAGCTAGCTTTTCAGCCATAAGTCGTAAGCTATCAACTATAAACTCGAAATTCACTTAAAAGCTATAAAGCTAGCTTATCAGCTACCTTTACCAAACATAGCCTAAGCCTTTGATCAATCACCTCAAGTGTTTATCATCATGACGTACACTTTAAAATCTTCACGAAATTGTGCATTTATGTAAAGTACATGCATGTGGGGTTATATATATAGGTCGATGCTGTGGTTTATTTGGTGGATGCATACGACAAGGAACGTTTTGCAGAATCCAAAAAGGAACTCGATGCACTTCTCTCAGACGAGGCACTTGCGAATGTCCCGTTTCTGATTTTGGGGAACAAGATTGACATACCTTATGCAGCCTCGGAAGATGAGCTGTGTTATCACCTGGGCCTGACAGGTGTGACTACGGGCAAAGGAAAGGTCAATCTTGCAGATTCTAACATGCGCCCTCTCGAGGTATTCATGTGCAGCATCGTGCGCAAGATGGGCTATGGTGATGGTTTCAAATGGGTCTCTCAATATATTAACTAGGGATTTGGTTTCAAACGAACGTAAAATATCTCTCTTGAAGAAAGAAAGATGGAAAGGTAAGAAGAAGGAAGATTCATTTCTTTTCGGGTGTTGTGTTTGTATTTTTGCTAAAACTTGTATTCTTTGCACTTTGAATCTGGTAAAGTAGGGCGAAATCTGATTGCTGCAACTGCTCTGTATATATATATTTTTTTTGTTATCTGACGTTTGAACTTCTTGGAGAATTTATGTTACCAGATTTAATGTCTTTTATTTATTTATTTATTTTTTTCTGGAGAAATGCTGCAGAATGCTTATCAAGGAATATGCAAATCTTCCTCCAACTACAACACATAGAGAGGATAAAACTGCGATCTCAAAATCCGCTTTCCTTCCCTTCTCAAGAGCTCTCTGAATAATATTTTATTTCTTTGACTTCTATTCTTTTTTATTATGTTGAAGGCATGGAATTGTGTACAACTCAAAAGAAATATTCCAACATGATCCAAGAATCATTTGGAATATGGGTTCTTGAAATGGTAAGTAAACAAGCCAAAAATCGAGTTCAAGCTTTGCTCATCATCAATATTAACTCGTTCAGTTCGAGTCTTGAGTCGATCTGGAGCTTTAACAAGTCGAATTGTAGAAAATTATATTAAAATTCTCTTTTCGTGCATTATCGAGTCAAGTTGAGTCCAACTCGTTAACGAAACGAGCTTTAAGCGAGCTCAAGCTCGGCTCGTTCATCAAACAAGTCGAGCTAAACTCGAACCTTAATGAGTCAAGACATATTCGAGCTTAACTTCAATCTTATTGAGTCGAGCAGAGGTCACGAGCATCTAGTTTCGTTTAACAAAATATATACAGCGAATATTAGATGCTACATCATATGCAGTAAGGTTGAATATATTTTTCATTATAGTATTTCATTTGAGCGTCACAATGCACATCAAACTTTTTTAACATAATTTTCACTAATATTTACAAAGTATTAGTTATTCCTTCCTATTTTTAATAAGTGTCGTTTTGAAAAGTTGCACAGTGATTAAGAATCTTTTTTTGTCAATAATAATCCTTATTAATGAAGATAGAGAGAGAAGCTTTGAAAAAAGATGAAAAGTGAATATAAAAAGACAGTAATGTATTTATTATGGGTAATAATGAAAAAATATGTACAAAAGATTTAAAACGTCATTTATTTGGTTAATTGTTGATAAAGTTAAAATGACGTTAAAAAAAAAAAGGAGGTAGTTAGTACTTTATTTGATTGATGATCACAGGCTTACGTTAAAATGTTCATCACACGCCATTAGCTTTTACATAAGCTTTTGACCCTTTTACATTATTATTATTATTATTATTATTATTATTATTTTTTCAGTTTTACTAAATTACGGTTTAAAAATCAAGCCTAACATAAACTATTAATAAGCGAATTATAAACCAAAAAATAATGTGTAGGACCCAGATAAAAAAAATAAACCACATATCAACCATTTATATATAGTGAAAATTAGTACATTTGCAATTAATAAAATCATAATTTTGAATAAAAAGAAATTTGTAGGTGAACGGTATTGGATATAAATATTTTAGTTTTTTATCAGATAAAGTGAGTTAAATTTAAATAAATTTAATTTAGTAGAATTTTGAGTTTGTATTTTAATAATATTTAAAGTGTAATTATTAAAATTGATGTGATGTAAAAGTATGAAAAATATGATTGGAAGTGTGGGTAGTTAATTTTATGTGAGTTAATGAGTAATTAACTAAAGTTTATGTGATGTGTAAAACGATTGAACACTATTTAATTATATTAATAATATTTAGGAGAGTTAGTTGAAAAAAGTTCAGTTCACTTTAAGTTAAAATGTGAAAAATTTATTTGGTCAATCAAAATCGGATAGTTTATCTCAATGCTCATCAATTTTAAATTAGATACATCACTTTAACTAAATGATAGAATAGTAATGGCAAGATTGGTAAGAGGGAATGACATAGGAACGGAATGATTATTCTTTTACTCATTCTTAATCTCATTATTGGTATATTTTTTAGAAAGGAATGACCATTCTAATGGGAATTGCAAAACCGTCTCCATTGAATTAGTCATTCATATCTAATGCATGATTTTCTGGTTCCCATAAAAGTTAACTTACTCAACATCATTTGGGAACAAAGAGTTTGTGCCATAAAAAAAGGAAAAAATAAATAGATGTGTTTTGTTAGGACAAACCAACACCATTTGGAACAAAGAAAGACACTATTGATTTTCGCCATAAAAAAAAATAAAAAAACAAAGAAAGACACTATTGATTTTCGCCATCAGAAAAAGATAAAAAATAAATAGATGTGAACACGACATATATACTGATGAGACAATTTCTCTAGCTTTTATACAACTTTTTTAGTACAAATTTTAGCACAAAATTCAATAAATAGGTGTGTTTTTTTAGGACAAGACCATTTGGAACAAAGAAAGATTGATTTTCGATAAAAAATAAATAGATATGAATAAGAGATATATACTGATGAGACAATTTCTCGGGCGTTTTATACAACTTTTTTAGTACAAATTTTAGCACAAAATTCAATAAATAAATGTGCTTTTTTAGGACAAGACATATATATTGATAAGATAATTTTTCTCGCGTTTTATGTACAAATTTTAGCACAAAATTCTCCAAACCTAAGTCATACAACTTTTTTTCATAATTTTTTGCCATATGGATGTATATCCCAAAACTTAAATTCATTTTTATCCTCGAAACCTAAATTTCAGCTATTATTATAAACGAGTGAAGTTAAATTTCAACTCATTATTATAAAAGAAAGTGGAGTTGATTTTTTATCGCCAAAAACTTAAATTCAAGTGAGGAAAGGTAAGAAAATAGGGTGAACCCAGCACTAACTTAATTCTCTATGCTTTAAAAAGAATATCTAGTGATTTTATGGGACTTTAAAATGTCCAGATTGAATATTTCTAGACTTTTAGAGACTTCTAAAAAGTCATTTAAAATTCTAATTAAATACCCAAAACTTTTTAAAGTTTTAAAAAGTCTCATTTAAATACATTCATATTTTACAAGTTTTAGCCTTTAAAAGTCTTTAGAATTCTTAAATGAATGTGTTAATTTCTACGGCATTTCATTTGTTTTGAAACTTTTATAGTTTGATGATAATTAATATCAATTAGTTTTTAAGCAAATTAACAAATTAATGGGATAAGTTCTCGTTCATCTTCCAAGTTGTGTAGGAGTAAATACAATTAGCATATTATTCTCTCAAAGTTTTTATACTGACAACAAAAAAGTATCTGAAAAAATTATTTGTGTATAGATTTGATCTCTGGTTGACTGATTTATTTATTTGATATATAATGAAATTGATCACATAAATGTGTATTAAGTTAAATACTTGTTAGATATATTTACTTATATTGTATCATTTAATAAATTTTATTATATATTTTTTATATAATAAATTCTTTTACGTTATTATAAAGGTCCGTCTTAATTATATAATAAAAAATTTATAATATCTTTACTATAAATGTCACATAATAATGAATTTATTATATAACCTTTATACAATAATATAACTTAAATGAATTGACATATATTTTGAACTTATTACATATTTTTTATTATTTTCATACATAAATATATAATAGTAATATTCACATTTTTTCTTGAAATATAATTCATATATCTTTCTATTTAATATTTCTTTGCTACAATTCTATTTATTATATAACCTTTCTATTCAATATATTCACGAATGCAGTTTCAAATAATCACCTCGACATATTTACCAAAACAAAAATGTTTGTTTATTAATGTATGAACTTTGAAGTGGGATTGAAACATTGTCTTTTAATCATTTTCAGTAGAGATTTCGGGAAATTGTGCTCTTTTTTCACGTCCATGTGGAGAAGTATATGTACGTGAAAAGACAAGTACAAGTGTTCATTCTCATACATTATAGCGATAAACATCTATAATGATAAAGAATATATTATTAGGATTTTATGATATCAAATAAACATATAATAAATTATCATATTTTTATTATTTTTATGTATATTTATATAAAAAATAATGTATATTTTTTAAATTTAATTATTCTCAGCACCAAATGACTTGATAACCTGATAGTTGAACATAATCAAAGGCAAGCTCGAGTTGTTATTCGTTCCGAGTTAAAAAACATTCCATTAGGGACATGGAAAAATTCCGTGTATTTTCTCATGTAGAGGTAATAGAATATGTATAGGTTTTTATATGTTTTTATATCTTTACATTTATATCCTCAAGTTATGTAATATTTACATAGTTGACCCCAACTATAAATAAGGGTCTTGACACACTTGTACATTTTCATCGGTTCATTTTCTCTAATACAGAAACCCTAGATTCTCTTCCTCTCTTTCTATGGTGTGTTGCAAATACTCTTTCATGGTATCAGTCGCCGGAATAATCCCGATCCTGGTGTAATCTCTTCGATTTCTGCTACTCTACATCGTCGTCTTCATCTCCGAGACGATTCTCTCGATTATTTTCATTTTTTTTGTGTTCGGTATTTGGATTTTAACCTAGATCTGTACATTTTCTCTCGATTATTGTACGATTTCGGTTTCCATCTGAATATCCACCGACTAGATCTACTCTGTTTCACATCTCAATTAACGATCTATGGCGATACCTACCGATGATCCTTTGTCGCCCTATTTCCTTCATCCCAGCGACAATCCGGGCGCAGTCATTGTTGCTGAAGTATTTGACGGCACTAACTACGTCTCCTGGTCTCGTGCGGTCTTTATGGCGTTAAGTGTCAAGAACAAAATCGGTCTCCTCGATGGTACTGTTCCTATCCCCTCTCATACTAACGCTGTGGATTTTTTGGCATGGACTCGTGCCAATAATCTCGTACTGTCATGGTTGTTAAACTCAATTTCCAAAGATATCAGACAGTCTCTCTTATTTTTTTCCAATGCCAAAGATGTTTGGGATGAATTGAAGGCTCGATATGCATTGAGCAGTGGTCCTCGTGTATTTCAAATCGAAAAATCTCTAAGCACGATGGATCAAGGCTCAATGACTATCACTCAGTACTATAACTCGTTTAAAGCCTTATGGGATGAGTACCTTACCTACAGACCTGTTATCCGTTGTACTTGTGGTGCTATAAGTTCATGTACTTGTAATATTTTTGACTCCATGTCCCTATCTCAACAATCTGATTCTGTCATCAAGTTTCTCATTGGCCTGAATGAATCATACTCAGCTCTC